CTGGGGTTGGTGGAGAAACAGGACACGTGCTCCCTGGGGATTGGACTGTCGTAAGAGCAGCCGTCGCCGGCGGCGGAGATGGGTTGGTAAGGGGAGGAGTCGAGGAGGGGCGGGAGAGAAACGGAGGAGGGGGAGCTGGGTTCTGGGTAGAGAGAGACGCTGCTGGTGGAGCCGTTGCCCATCCGAGTCTTTTTGGATCCGGGTCCGTTGGCGGCTGATCCGCTACTCTTCTGGAAAACCCGGGAAATGACCCACTCGTCCTGCACGTGTATTGAATCAATGCCATAAGCAAAATTGGAGAAAAAACCAGTCAGCTTTTTGAGAAAAATTAGTCCTGTGGGTAGGTGGTGACGTTCCTATATGCATAATTTAAACCCCAACGTAATTAATGCCTAACAAAAAATACGAAATGGCAGCAAACGAGGAGACCTCATAGAAATTATAGCAGAAAACGACCGTCACACAGTAAATTGATGGGTTATGTGTGTTAAAAAAAGTTAATAACTTAAAAATTAAAAATTTTCACCACTTACATAAAAACACATGATGTACTATCCGTGTTCCCGTCATAACAAAAAATTTCTCCAGAATAACAATGTGACCTATTTTGATAACTGAGCTACAAGATCTTGCTCCGGAATTTTATTTATGCCCAAAACATTCAAGTTTCAGGTGTTTGATGCCATGATACAAGATAGCATGGAGGAGGATATACGGAGGACCAACTGAGACATCCTCTACCATTGAAAGCCATTAATTAACATTAGTAAAATCTGCATAGATGGTTAAATTTACCTAACCCTAGCTAGCGACCCCCACTGTACCAACTAATTTACCTAACCCTAGCTGTAAATGATGTAGTACTACTAAAAATCAAAACTTTACATGTTAAGATGTAGCTTAGACATGCATGAGCGTCAAAGTTTCCAATATAACTTTAGGGAGAGAGGACCTTGGAGCTCCGGGAGAGATAGTGGTAGGCAAATTTGCCTTCAAGACGGTACTCATGCATGACCCAGTTGGATTTTTCACCCTTGGGAGCTCTACCGCGGTAAAAAACCAAAGTCTTCTTCATCCCAACGAGCGCGCAAGTCTTGGAGCTGTAAATCTCCCTGTCCTTTCCGGTGGCTTTCCAGTACCCGGCTTCAGTTGCCCTGTTGGTTCGGAGCCCCGTCGGGTATTTCCGGTCACGCAGGCTGAAAAAGTACCACTCTTTCTCCCCCATCTTTGCCTTGTCTGCAAATTTATTCAAAACCAACGCTTAAATACTAATTATAATCAACACCCAACATTATTAATTCATTTCAAGTTATGTACAAGAAAAATTGTTATAATCCAACCCGAACACTTAGAAACTAACTACAACTAAAACCCAAATTTAGAAATCAATTATTTCAGGTTATGTACATGAAATAATGTGATTAATTAGCATGAGGTGGAGTTAAGTAGTTGATTAATTACCAGGGAGCTCCCAAGGCTCACACTTGTTGAGGTCGACTTCAGCAATGGCACGGCCGGTGAAGCTGCTGTCGAGGACCTTCTTGAGGAGGTAGTAGGTGATGAGCTCCTCATCGGTGGGGTGGAAACGGAAGCCGGGTGGCAGGTGGGTGTTGTGATCAAAGTGGGTGGAGAAGCTCATGATGTCCATGGGTGTCGAGAGAGAGAAATCAAACAAACAACGAGAAAGTCGTTGGGAAGAAAACCCAGAAGGGACTTTTGGAGTGTCTAGGTTTTAAAGAAGGTGTGATTGTTTCATGAAAGTTGTTGGAGGTCAGGAAAGAGTGGAGTGGAGTGAGGGGTTTTGAGAGTGAGGGGTTGAGTGTTTGTTTTGTAGCTGCAAGATTTGGTTTTAGGGAGAGAGAGAAGGAGAGAGGAAGAGTGTGAGAAGGGTTTGATGGATCTGAGTGGCAGAGAGAGAGGGGAAAAGGTGAAGGAGATATAATAACTAATAAGGTATGATATGGCTGGAAAAATCTGTGTTTTTCTCTGCCCTCTCTGCCGTATCCATTACCTCTCTTTCTCTCTCCTCTTTCTTTCTCCCCCTGTAAAGAGAGAGAAAGTGTGTGTGATGTATGTGTCTGAGGAAATGGGCTGTGCAGAGCTGGGGTAGTCTGTTTAGAGTATGCGTGCGTGCGTGAGAAAGTGTGCAGGTATTCCTCTGTCAGTGAAGAAAATGAAAGGGAGGGAACAGAAAGTAGTTTTATGAGAGAGCCCTTTTGAGTTTATGTGAGAAGGAAAATAAATAAGAGGAGGGGAAAATAAATTTTTATTTTTTGTAAAAATCAATTTTCCATTTTTTAAATATTAGAAAAAAAAGAGAGGTAAAGATTTTCACCATGTATCGATAAAGCTGTTGCAAATCTCTCATGTCAGCACAGTACATATAATAATAATAAATCCAAAACAAGCACAGAGAGCCTTGGTGCTTTAATACACACCATCTATGTAGGTTTTTTTTTTTTTTTTTTTTTTTTTCAAATATTTTATTTTATTTTACATTTTCCCTGCTAATTAAGAATTTGTAAATAAGAGGATTCTCTCTCCTCTTATGCTTATCTTCTTCTCTCTCATCCTCTTACATATTATTTTTTATCTTATTATCTTTATAAAAAATTCAATATAAGATGTTGACGTGGTTAAACTGTAACTGTTCAAATAGGAGGGGAGGGAATGGGAGAGAGATTAGGAGGGGAGAGAATCCTCCTCCCTACATGAATGCTCCGCCTCATGTTTTTTACACGATTCATTTGCTAACATTATAAAATATCGTGTCAAAAATATAAAAATGTAGAAAATTCATGAATCTCACTTTTGAGAGAGTATGCTTCGCATTCCTCAAGCGTTTAAAGCACCCCGTATAAACTTTATCAAAATGTAAGGTATTCCCTTCAACATTGGAAGTTAAGAGTTAAACCAAATATTAAGTCAATATTATAAACTACCACAGTTAATCATCCGCCACAAAATTAACTTCTCTAAGAACATGTCCACCGGTACTTTAAATGCCAAGGCAGTTGGATTAAAATGCCCTTATCCCATAAAATGTTGGTCCATGGCCTAAAATTTGGCAGGCAACTTGTGGGCTTGAGGAAGCCCATCGAACTGCCTGTCGAAGAATTGTTGGGCCTTGAGCTCGATGCCAATGACGATGTGAGTGCGGTGATAGAGTGGGCCCCCCCCACATGCGCAACCTAGAGCCAAGCAACTCGTTTATTCGCGTGCCTTAGTTGTTGGATTTTCCAATAATAAAAAAATTGAAAAAATATTTTGTTGTGCCACATTGCCATGTAGCACAATTTAGCGCATCTGATTTCATAAATTGAGAAAAATTACTCTTTAGAATAAATATTAATGACAATTCAAGTGTCTTGTCCTTGCCCTTACCCTCCCAAAAACATAAGAAAACTATTGGAATCAAGCATATGAGCTTACAATATGTGTTTTATGTCTTAAAAGTAAGATGGGAAACAATTTAATGTATAAGAAGAAGAAGAAAAAAGCTATGGCATTATGCATGCATGCATGGTTTCTAGTATTCTGCATTCACTTTTTTCATATAAAGATTAGGCAAAAGAACTGGAGCTTTGGAAGTGAGATTGAGAGAGTGATTGGATTTTCGTACTACTGCTCGCTTTTTAACACTGTTGGAGTCTGGGGATTCACATTACTGGTTGCGCATCACAATTTCATGCTAATTAAGCACACCAACCGTTTGGCCCGTATGTAATACAAACATATTACAGTCAAGAAGTAGCTAAAACCAAAGTCGATCCCCTCAAATTTATATATAACAGACTCAGATAAAATAGATGGTTTACAAAAAGATACTGTATTTTATGGTCATCGATGATAAGTTGAATTAGAAAATTAGAGGTTTTTTTTTTGTCGGAAGAAAAATTTAGTACCAACACAACATACATATATGCATTGAGGCTCAATTAATTACACAAAACACAAACCAAAAGTCGAGCTTTGGTTCTTGTTCTTTTATTGAATTGGAGCTTTGATGATTGATTAAAGATCCATAAGTATTGGTCTATGAATCTATAACAATATAGAGTAATGATTATTTTGGGTAGCTTTGTTAAACTTGCGTTCTAAAAAAAAAACCTTTCATTTTTAGTATGGCCATTAAAACTAAATGAAAGTTCTAACGATGTTACGTAAAATAACCATCGCCCATATTGTGACAAGTTCAAATAACAATGCTTATAATTTTTAGTTCATAGACAAATTTCCAGCCAATGCTCTTAGGGAACAATATTCTAATTTTCTCTAAAAAAAAATTTTAATAGTTAATATAATAGTTCATTTGATGATTGCTACATTTCACTGATGAATTATACAACATCAATTTCTAGTACAAAACAAAAGATTTTGCATGTTGAGAATTAAGCTGCCTCCTTGCTTTAGAGATATCCTGCAGAAGGTAATCCTGCAGATGAAGTCAAAAAGAAGCAGGAAAGTGTGAAGAAATGAAGACCTTACTAAAATTAGAAGGAGCTTTTTAATTTTTCAACAGCTAGTTTCTTCCCCTGTTTTTAGAAAGATTACAGCTGGTGTTTTATCCATTATTTGTACTGAGCACTCTCATCTTCCTCCAAGTGGATGGATGATATCCTCTGATAACCATTTATGATCGGAGAAGAGTACTAGGCCTCTAGATGTAGGTTCTGGTTTGTAGACCGGCTGTGAAACAAAAAGGATATAGTCTTTGTAATTTGTTTTTTGGATATCAAGAAAATATACAAAGTGACTCTTGCTCTTCTGTTTTCTCTCGAGCCAAAACAAACACAAAATTTCGTCAAACCTTTATTCAAGTTTCAATCTTTATCAACCAAAAACAATATGCCTGGTACCATTTCAAACATGGTATCAGAGCTCTTGGTCTGATTCCGAAGAAGGGCGTGATACTGTGGGTGAGATCTAGCTCCGAAGGAAACCCAGAAAATCTTAAAGGTGGTTCCTTTGTTGGTTGATTCACTGATACTCACTAAGAAATGGTGGGATCGAGTTCTTCCGGTGGAGATTTACGAACTCCACAGTTTGATGGTGCAAACTACGATTTTTGGGCTGTCAAAATGGAAACAATCCTCATAGCACATGATCTATGGGATGTGATAGAACTCGGAATACAGCCGCAGCAGACTCCCGAGGAGGAAGAAGGTTCTGTAGATGAAGGAAGTGAGGCTGAGCACACTCCAGTAGAAGCACCCACTATCCAAAGAAGACAGAATAAAAAACGCCAAGGCGTTAAGCCTCATTCAGGGAGCCATAACTGATGTGCTCTTCCCTCGCATCAGAAATGAGAAGACTGCTAAAGGAGCTTGGGAAATACTGAGAAGAGAGTTCAAAGGAGACAAAAAGGTAAGAGCTGTTAAACTTCAAGCCATTAGAGCTGAGTTTGAATATCTGAGAATGCATGATGGTGAACCCTTAGATGACTACTTGGCTAGGTTTTTTGAGATAGTGAATAATCTGAAATCACTAGGTGAGGATGTGCCTGAGAAAAGGATTGTGCAGAAGCTATTAATGAGCTTAAATAGAAGATACAAATCCATAGTGTCTATAATAGAGGAGACAAGAGATCTGGATGTTATAAGGGTTGAGGAAGTCTTGGCCTCGGTTAAAGTCTATGATAAAAGGGAAGACCTGCATGATGAAAGGGACAAGGTTACTGGTACTGGAGAGGGCATTTAGTAGTCTAAAGATTGGAGGTAGTGTTCATGGTAGTACTAGTGGAAGTTATAAAGGTGCACAGAGTAAACAGAACCATAAATGGCAACAAAACAAGAAAGGAAGAAATTGGTCACAAAGCAGCAACTGGAATGGCAATGGTAACTCTAGTTGGAACAATCAAAATGGTGGAAGTTGGGGAAATAGAAGCACTTTTCAAAGCAAACAAGGAAGCAGTAGTCAAGGTGTCATGAAACCACAATGTCAAACTTGTGATAAATATCATTTTGGCATTTGTAGGTATAAGGGAAAACCAAAATGTGGCAAGTGTGGCAGATTTGGACACACTGCAAAGGATTGTAACAATGACAAACAGGTTGCTAACTATGCAAAAGAGGAAGGTGTGACCAATGGCACAATGTTCTATGCCTGTCACGCAGCATCAACATCTCAGGACAGATCCGTGTGGTTTGTTGATAGTGCCTGCAGCAACCACATGACTTCTCAAGAGTCTTTGCTACTAAATCTTGACAGATCAATTACCTGCAAAGTTAATGGGGACTGGCGATCTGGTTCAAGCTACAGGCAAGGGAACACTTGTAGTAGATACAAAGCATGGGAAGAGATACATTAATGAAGTTCTGTTAGTTCCAGGATTAGATGAAAATCTCTTGAGTGTTGGTCAAATGATGGAACACGGTTACTATGTCCTGTTTGGTGGTAATATGGCTATAATATTTGATGACAGCAATCTTGAAAATGTGGTAGCCAAGGTAACTATGGCTGGAAATAGGTGCTTTCCATTGTCCTTGGAATCTATAAATCCAGTAGCTAAAAGAGCTTCAATTGAAGAAGGGTCATGGATCTGGCATAAAAGGCTGGGTCACTTGTGTTTTGACAACCTAAAAAAATTGCAAAGAGAGGGAATGGTACTTGGTTTACCCGAGCTATCAGAAGTGAATGAAATCTGTGAGAGTTGTATTGCTGGAAAAATGCACAAAGAACCATTTGATAAGGAGAAAGCATGGAGAGCAAGCCATCCACTAGAATTGGTACATACTGATGTCTGTGGACCAATGCAAAATGAATCCATTGGTGGGAACAGGTACTTCATCACATTCATCGATGACTATTCAAGAATGTGCTGGGTGTACTTTCTTAGAAACAAATCTGATGTGTTCAATGTATTTAAAAAAATTTAAAGCCTTTGTGGAGCTACAAAGTGGTTTCAAGATTAAGAAGCTGCGAAGTGACAGGGGAGGTGAATATACATCTCATGAATTCTTAGATTTCTGTTCTAACACTGGAATGGAGAGGCAATTAACAGTTGCATATTCCCCTCAGCAAAATGGAGTTGCTGAAAGAAGGAATAGAACCATTGGTGAAATGGCAAGGTCAATGATGGCCGAGAAGAATATCCCTGTAGTTTTTTGGGCTGAAGCAGTTGGAACTGCAGTATACTTGCAGAATAGATGTCCCACAACCTCAGTGAAGGGCAAGACTCCATTTGAAGCCTTCACAGGTAGAAAACCAGGCATAAAACATTTGAGAATGTTCGGATGCATATGCTATACTCACATACCTTCATAGCTAAGAAAAAAGTTTGATGAAAGGGCAAGAAAATGTATCTTTATGGGGTATGGAAGCTGCGAAAAAGGGTATAGAGTTTATGACCTGCAGTCCAAGAAAATAATCCTCTCCAGGAGTGTTGTATTCAATGAGGATCAGTGTTGGAGTTGGGAATACAGGCAAGTTGAAACACCTGTGATGTCCCTAGTCTTTGAGAATCAAACACATGGTGGTGATGTGCAGGAAAGTCCAAATGAGACTCAGGTTGAGACTGCTCAAAGCTCTCAACCAAGTTCGAGCCCAACCAATGCATCAACTAGCCGAAGTGAATCACTAAGTCAAAACTCAACTCCTAGTTCAACACCTGTAAAACTAAGGAGTCTAGAAGAGATATATGCTAGATGTCACATGAGTTTTGTTGAACCAGAAGATTATCAAGAAGCAGCACAGGATCAAGCATGGCAAGAAACTATGAATGCAGAAATCGATATGATTGAAAAGAATGACACTTGGCAGCTAGTTGATAGACCCACGGATAAGCCTGTTATTGGGGTGAGATGGGTGTTCAAAACTAAATTAAATCTAGATGGAACAGTTCAGAAGCACAAGGCTAGACTGGTGGCAAAAGGGTATGCACAAAAGCCCGGAATCGATTACAATGAGACCTTTGCACCAGTGGCAAGGTTGGATACAATTAGGACCCTTATAGCTTTGGCTGCACAAAAAGGGTGGAAATTATTCCAACTAGATGTGAAATCTGCGTTTTTAAATGGCATACTTGAAGAAGAGGTATACATTGAACAACCTGAAGGTTTTGAAGTTAAAAATGCTTGTCATAAGGTCTACAAATTAAGGAAGGCCTTGTATGGTTTAAAACAGGCACCTAGAGCCTGGTATAGTGAGATTGATGCATATCTCACCAGCTGCAATTTCATCAGAAGCACAAGTGAAGCTACTTTGTACACCAAGTCCGATGAAGAAGGTGGTATACTTATTGTCTCAATATATGTTGATGACATTGTGTATACTGGAAGCAACAAAACACTACTCAGTGAGTTCAAAATGGAGATGATGCAGAAGTATGAGATGTCGGATTTAGGCTTACTCCATCATTTTCTAGGAATGGGAATCCTACAAACTGAAAATGGTGTATTTATTCATCAAAGCAAGTATGCAAAATCATTACTTGTGAGGTTTGGTCTTGAAGACTGCAAACCTGTCTCCATTCCTCTGCCTACTGGTGAGAAGCTCAAGAAGGTAGATGGAAGTGAATTGGCAGATGAAACCATGTACAGGAAAATTGTGGGCAGTCTTCTGTATTTGACAGCAACTAGACCAGATTTGATGTATGCTGCTAGTTTTGTTGTCAAGGTTCATGAATGGTCCTACAAAGAAACATTTTGGAGTTGCAAGGAGGGTTCTGAGATATGTGCAAGGCACGCTGAGCTATGGAATTGAGTATGCAAAAGATAGTGATGCAATCCTTGTAGGATTCTGTGATGCAGACTGGGCAGGGAGTGAGGATGATTGCAGGAGCACCTCAGGATATGCTTTTAGCTTTGGTAGTGGGATTTTCTCTTGGGCGTCTGTGAAGCAAAATACAGTTGCTTTATCAACTGCAGAGGCCGAGTATGTCTCAGCAGCAGAAGCCACGGCCCAGGCTATTTGGCTAAGATTTGTACTCGATGATTTTGGAGAAATGCAAGCTGATGCAACACCCTTATTCTGTGACAACATGTCTGCAATCTCCATGGTGAAAAATCCTGTCTTTCACCAGAAAACCAGACACATAAATAGGAGGTTTCATTTTATAAGGGAAGCACTACAAGAAGGTGTGATTAATGTGAAGTTCTGCAGAAGTGAAGAACAACTTGCAGACATATTTACTAAAGCCTTGCCTAAAGATCGATTCAATCACTTGAGGATGAAGTTAGGAGTAAAGCCAGTAAGCAGCTTAGGAGAGGCTGTTGAGAATTAAGCTGCCTCCTTGCTTTAGAGGTATCCTGCAGAAGGTAATCCTGCAGATGAAGTCAAAAAGAAGCAGGAAAGTGTGAAGAAATGAAGACCTTACTAAAATTAGAAGGAGCTTTTTAATTTTTCAACAGCTAGTTTCTTCCCCTGTTTTTAGAAAGATTACAGCTGGTGTTTTATCCATTATTTGTACTGAGCACTCTCATCTTCCTCCAAGTGGATGGATGATATCCTCTGATAACCATTTATGATCGGAGAAGAGTACTAGGCCTCTAGATGTAGGTTCTGGTTTGTAGACCGGCTGTGAAACAAAAAGGATATAGTCTTTGTAATTTGTTTTTTGGATATCAAGAAAATATACAAAGTGACTCTTGCTCTTCTGTTTTCTCTCGAGCCAAAACAAACACAAAATTTCGTCAAACCTTTATTCAAGTTTCAATCTTTATCAACCAAAAACAATATGCCTGGTACCATTTCAAACATTGCAATCATTTTTTTTTTCAGATATCAAGCTAAACAAAATGAAGCATGATTCTATGAAAAAGGATCCTCTCTGGATGCTGTCTATGCGGCATCTTGGGATCAATTATCCTAGTCGTTCACCACAGATCGAACGACTACGCCTTCACCAATCTCAAATTCACTGCCTTCTCTCTTCTCCTTTCATTGCTTATGTTCTCCTGTTAAGAGATCGAACGAGTTCGCAACGGAGGCATGTTATCCACTCATCGTAAACTCGATTGGCACAGGAAATAGGTTTGCCACAGACGAGAGGTTATGATCCCACCTTCGACGCGCAACGAAACACGTGCTGTCTGAGATGGTGTTGGTGGGCAGAATCGTAAGGCGAAGGAAGGTAGTGGATGAGACATGTTGTCCATGGATTTGGAGGTCCTTCCGCCGCGACGACGCACTTCGATGGCTTGATTTTTTCTTTACCGTTTTATCGGTAGTGAACGATCAGGATTAATGAATCTCGAGAGTCCGCACAAAAAAAGATCTTCTTTTGGATTGTGTGCTCTCAATCACAATCATAATTATTATCTCAACATTCCATGTTATGCAATAATATGAAAATGTAAATATTTTGTTTTTTTTTTTTAAATTAAAGTTGAAAAACTTGAAATCTCTTAGGGGTGCAAGGTCTCCTGAGAGCCCTGACCTCATCTTTTATACCATATTTACGCTCAATGCTTTACAGTGGTAGCAAAACAAATCTTACTGGAACTGGAAGTGGACAATATTATTCTATCAGACAAAAGGGTGAAAAGGTAAAACAAGAAAGTGAAAAACGGATAGGAATGGTTGGTGAAGTTGATTTATTGATTTTACACACAACAAAACCAATCAGATATTTTAGGGTTCTTCTGTAGTCCCTACTTTGGTGAAGAACAATTCCTAAATTGAAAAAAAAATATCAGAAACTCAAACTTACTATTAAATTGATCAAAATAAAACATTGATGACATAGTAATTTAAAATTA